AAAAAATTCTGGGGACTTTTAGGCTCACGATTCACATGAAATAAAGCACACAATTAATCACCTAGGGTTTTGGCATAACCTAATGAAGTGAATAACGTTCTTTTAGATATTGACTCCTTGCCCCTACCTAACCTTGTAAACTTACAAAAAGGGACAAGAACATTCAACAATAACAAGGAAGTTTAGAGTCAAGATCCTGAGGCAATGAGAGAGTACCCCCAAGAGCTGAGAGTTTCAGTGGGACAGAAACAGAACAGAAAGAACAATGGTTGATTAGTTTCCCATGACTACTCTGAGTTTATATTATGTACTCATATTAATCAAAATTTAAATTGTTTCCCAGTTATAGATGAAAAGCCACATCTGTTAATCTTTGTATAAGGTTTATGTACTCACTCATGTATAAATAAAGGTTACTGATTTTGCTCTAGGTTGAAGAGACACACTCCTCTGCTCTCCTAACCCCACTATGTTTCTCCGAGTCTTTCTTCTTCACTGCCTGCTTTTCTCTCTCCTCAGGTTGTTGTTCCCTGGAAGCTGAGGCTGCAGCTTGAAATCTTTTATTGTTAATATTCGACACAAACAAGGTGAAAGCAATTGAAAGATGGCAAAGAATGCAAAACAAGAAGTGGCATGAGTGTTAACTACTTTGTAGTTTACTATATAGGCCCATAACGTGACAGAGAAATCATGAAAAGATCAATTCCATATGTTGACTATGAGATGATTTATATAACACATGCTCTGCTGAGTGCCATGCAAGATAGAAGTGCTATGAGAGCTGAGGATATGGAGGTGGGGAATGATTTCCCCCAGGAGATCATGGGAGTCTTTGATTAGGGAATTTAAATTGGGCCTAGGAAGCTGGATGAGATTTGAAGATGTGGGGCAAAGAGGGAGGACATTGGCAAAGGAAATAGCTAAGCAAAGGTGAAGGGGTGGAAAGGATGAAGAAAGGACCAGAGACAGCATTTCCATTTCTTCCCAGTATGGATACCACTATTTGAAATGTTCTGCCAATTTGGTAGTTTTGGAACTCTAACCCAAAAATGATTTGATTAAATCTTGATGAGTTGTGAGAATTTGGTTGTTTGCTTTCCTATACACATGATCTGAGGTTTAGGGAGTAGATATCAAGGACTTGTGAACACAATTGAATAGGTCAGTCTTCTTTTTTGAGAAAGAAAATGTCTCACTTTGTATTCTAGGCTGGCTTTGAACTCATATGTAGTCTAGGCTGGCCTCAAATTTATGAAGCTCCTCTTGCCTCAGTCTCCTAGGTGCTGGGATGACAGGCATGTGCCAGCACATTAGCTAGATTTCAGTCTTAAAAGGGCCAATTACAGAAGAGGAATCTTGGCAATAAAAAGATCAGACACTTCACTTGTATTTCCTATATTATTATTTTACCTCATCAAAAAAAAATGGACAGGGGGCCAGGGAGATGGCTCAGTAGAATAAGCACTTCCCTGGCAAGTGCAAGGGCCTGAGTTCAATCCCCGGTTCTGAAAAAAAAAAAAAAATCCTTGTGTGAATTAAGAGTAAATTTGTGTGAAAGAAGAGAAATATCTCTATTTATAATAACAGGACAACCTGCACACAGCCTCCCTCAGGAGCTGGGAAGTGGCAGCAGTCCAACAGCCCAGGGGTACAAAGGGCCCTGGCAGCCCCTAGACTGTCCTTCCATACATCCACTCCCCCATCACCATGGCAATGGCCCTTCCAGAGAGAAATGCTCAATGCATGTAATCCAGCATTATTTAAAAATTGTTACAACTGACCCCAGGCTAGATCTTGTGCAACATAAAACATTTTTAGAGAAATGTCCTTTCTAAGAATCAAGAGGCTAAATTTGAATATAGATTGTGAATTACATTGATGGGTCTCCAACTCTACCTTGTTTCCAATAAGTAGGCAGGCTTATCCAAAACACAGATAACTAAAAGCCACCCTAACAATTTCTTGTTCTGTATAGCTGGGCTGGAAGCCAAAAATTTTGTTTCTAGCAAGTTCCCAAGAGATGCTGATGCTACTAGTCGGGGGCCTCGCTTTCAAAACCACCAGCTTATATACTCATTATAACAGTGATAATCTCCTGAATTTTCATCATTGTACTGTAGTTCTATTAAAAGGAAGTCTTTGGCCTTAGAAGACACAGTGGTATTAGGGACAAAGAGGGTAGTATGGCTATAGCTTTGTGATGGTCAGCTTTCCATCGCAGTGCCAAATGGCTCACAAAATCAACTTGGAAGGACCAAAATTTACTTTGTTTTGAAGTTTCAGAGATTTCAATTCATGATCAATGGCTACCATTGCTTTTGAGCCTATGGCAAAATAGGACATCATGGCTGGGTGTACGTTATAAAGCTGAGAAGCAATGAGACAAGGGATGAGATCTGCATCCCAGTGCCCATGAACATGCATGCCAATCGCCTAAGTTCCTCCCATTCGGTCCTGCCTCCCAAGGGTTCTACCTCTTTCCTGTAGCTTCAAAAGCTGGCAACCACATGGGCCTCTGGGTGGAAATTCAAGAACCAAACTATAACTAAATGATTTTCAAATGGCTCAGGAATAAAATTAAGTATGTAGGAGATCCTGTTAGATAAGATAAATAGAATGATAAAATGAAAATCGAAAAATATGAATAATGAAAAATATAACAATTGGACCAGGGACTCTGGCTGAAGGGTATATGAGAAATCATTGCTATTCTCATAGATTATCTGGTAGTTTAAAATTACATTAAAATTTAAGAATATAAAATTAATACATGGGGCCAGGGAGATGGCTCAGTAGAATAAGCACTTTCCTGGCAAGCACAAGGGTCTGAGTTCAATCCCCGGTTCTGAAAAATAAATAAATAAATAAAGGTAATAAAGCTATAGTATATCACCTAGACCTGTCCAGTATGGTAGCCATTAGCTACATAAAATTAGTAAAATTTAAATTAAGTAATATTAAATAAAATTTAATATCCATCTCTAAATTCTACTAAGCAAACTTCCTAGGGCTAAAAAGCCATGTGTGACTAGTCATTACAGAATTAGATAACACAAGGATATACCATTTCCGTCATCACAGAAAGGTCTGGTGAGCAAAACTAACTGCAGTTTAAAATGTTTTAACATCAAGGAAAAGTCTGAAAATGTTGATATGTCAAAGCAATAGTAGTAAAGTAGTAAAGTCATCATCATAAGTAGTAGGAGTTAGTTAGTTCTGAGCTAAGACAACTTATTAATGGAAGAAACTAATGAAGTAAAATGCTTAAATTATAGCAAATGGATCGTATTACAGCTATATATGCAAATATCTGCAGTTTTGCACGAACCAGTGAAAAATTTGCCAGAGCAATTGTTCAATAAGACCTCTCCACACATCTCATCATCTTATTGATTTTCTCAACAATTCATAGGACAAAAGAAAGGTAGATATTTAAGTGACCTAGATTTTTTCCCCCACTTTCCTCCAAGCAGAGAAGAGATAAGATCTGGATAAAGAAACACAGAGTAGGACCAGGGAGATGGTTCAGTGGAGTAAGTGCTTGCCTGGCAAGCACAAGGAACTGAGCTCCATCCCTGGAATCATGAAAGGAAGGAAGGAAGGAAGGAAGGAAGGAAGGAAGGCAGGAAGGGAGGAAGGAAGGGAGGGAGGGAGGGAGGGAGGGAGGGAGGGAGGAAGAAAGAAAGAAAAGCAAGCAAACAAGCAAAAGTGAGCTCAGCAGGCTGATCTAAAGGGGAACTGTCAAGACTTGGAATATTTCAAACTCATTCAGATAAACTTAAAAAATGGTTTAATTTGGGTTATACACAGTTCATGTATAAAGCAGGCAAGGTAGGATTTGGAGCTATCTCCACTTCCGAGTGTCATTTTTCCTCTCCTACCTCTTCTACCTTTTCTTTCCTGCCTCTCAAATATACAGGATTCTGGAGTTGTATCTGGCATCCAAAATTTCTGACCCAAACAAGCTTGAATTCTACCATAAAGCATGACTTCTTTCTTGCTAAAATTACTTCTTTAGAGTCCCAGAAAGATCCAGGTGATAAGCTGACTGCATCTTTTGTTTTTTGTTTTTGTATTTTTTCTAAATACTTTCGAATTCCCCCAAGGAGCATCTAGGTAATCCTGTTTTCCAGAATGTTCCAGGAGACATTTTTTTGACCAAATCATCTTCAGGAATTCTTTGTCTAACCTTACCCCTGCTTTGGCCAGCTATTCTACAACTATATATTGTCAATTTTCCCGTGTTAAACCTTTCCAAGCAGCTTCATGCTCAGTTGAGGTTCAGTACAATATAAAGTTCTTTCTTGAAAAGAACAGAGAGTAGGAGAGAAAACTGAAAATACTTGCAGTTGTAAATCACAACTCAATGAATATAATGAGTTTCTGTAGAAAAAATAAGCTGCATTTTTTATTTTCAAATTTCCACTTGAGAAATAAAACATAGAACTAGAATCCAAAACTTAGAAGACATACTGTTCTGTGTAGCCTCTATTAGGGTACTTAAATATCTATCTAATCTTTGGACTATAGTAGGGGGGTTGACATTCTTATTAGAAATTTTGCCTTAAAATATATTCATTCTGACTAGTTTGCCAAGGGGGAAAAACTATGAGAAATTAATTTTGTCAGTTACAGAGATGATCATTCTTAGCTGCAAGAGATACAATCTCAGGTCTTTATATGTCAATTTGTGTTTTGGTAGTTGAACTTTTGGATGTCTTTTAATACAAGCCTTTTTATTATACAACATTTTTTTTTATTTTTGTTTTTGTGGTCCTGGGGATTGAACTCTGAGCCTGGCACATGCTGTACCACTTAGCTACATCCTCAAACATTTTTATTTTAAGACACAATCTCAACTAAATTGCCCATGCTGGGCTTGAACTTTTGATCCTCCTTGCCTCTGTCTCCAGAGTAACTGAGATTACAAGTTTATACCACCCCACTCAGCCCAACAGAACTTTACTAAGATTTGAAAGGAGGAAAAAAAGTAGTCTTACCTCACAATACTCTGTGATAATGCAGAAATTATCTTGTTCCACGAAGCTGGCATAGAACTTGACAATGGCCGGATGGTCCAGCGTGGATAGGAGCTGAGCTTCCAAGCTGGCCTGCACAGTTTCGTTTGGATTTAGTCCTCCAACAGAGATTTCTTTCAGCACTTTTCTGCAGCCAAAAGGTTTTAAACATATTCAAGGTTGAAAAACACATTTAACACACACGAGGCAAGTGGAGCACAGCTACCAAATTAATATCTAGGGCGTCATCTACTCATACTGTGTCTGCTTAGGGACCCTAAGTTGCTTCCTTATCCTGGTCAGTGATGTGGGCTCCCCAAGGCCTGTGGGTTCTACAGTTGCGTGTTCTGCAGTTTTGTAGGGGGCAGATGTGAAGCCAATCAAGCAAGATTACCTGGGTGCCTGTCTTTCTCTTTTTATCTCTGGTTCTGTCTCATCTCTCTGTCTCTGTCTGTCTGTCTGTCTGTCT